GGTGTGGAACGGAGCCGTAAATTACCCTTGGAATAACTAGAATGGTCCCATTTTAACTCAAAATTGCGCCTTTCCCTTTTCATCTCTCCTTTTTATGCCCCCTCCCTATTTCTCCTCCTCCTCCTCTTCTTCCTCCTCCTTCTTTTCCTTCTCTTTCTCCTTCTTCTAATTCACATTTGAATGAGAAGTCAGAACTGAGAGGGTGTAGGTGGGAGTAGGTTTGCTTATTTATTTATTTTTAAAAATATATATTTTACTGATTTTTTATTGAGGGGAAGGGAGAGAGATAGTTAGAAACATCGACGAGAGAGAGTGATTGATCAGCTGCCTCTTGTACACCCCCCACTGGGGATATACCCGCAACCAAGGTACATGCCCTAAACTGGAATCGAACCCGGGACCCTTCAGTCTGCAGGCCGACGCTCTATCCACTGAGCCAAACCGGTTTCGGCAGGTTTGCTTATTGATGCCTCTCTGAACGGTGGAAACCGTTTCTTTTCCCATCACCGCTTTCCATTTCTTCGCCATGCTTCTATTTTAAGTACCTGTTTTTTACTGGTTCTGTCTTGCTGGAAACTGGCCCAGCCTCACTCAGTTTTGTTTCCATGCTGCTATTAAAAGACAATGACCAGTTACGAGTCCTCCGTGGAGGATGGGAGCCACCCTCTTGGGTCTAGTCATCCAGCATTCAGGCAAGTACCCCTGCTTTGGAATGTGAGAAGAGTTTTATTAGGCAATTTTAACATATACATCTATTTTTTTTTTTTTTTTAAGTGGAGGAAAACACACTATTATTTGTTATACCCTGAAACTTCTCTTTTGCTGAGCTCGAAGACTAACATGGCTGAATTGAGGTCAAAGAAACTCTCTTTCCTGTCCTGGGCCTCATTTCCCAAGATAGAAAAATGTGCTTGTCGCTGGGTGTCTGGTCAACCATGAATAATTCTTCTTCTTTTTTTTACACGGTAGATTTTTATTTGATTTTTTTATTGACTTCAGAGAGGAAGGGAGAGGGAGAGAAACATAAATGATGAGAGAGAATCATTGCTCAGCTGCCTCCTGCATGCTCCCTACTGGGGATGTGCCCTTGATCGGAATAGAACCTGAGACCCTTCAGTCTGTAGGCTGACGCTTTATCCACTGAGCCAAACCAGCTAGGGCCGACCATGAATTCTTGACATTTGGGAGAGATGTGTCCCCAGTCTCTGAAGAATCCTTACATTTATTAAGTGTTTCTAGAGTCACCACCAAATTTTGATTTTCACTTTTTAACTTAGCCAAAAATGTTGTGTCTGGCTTGTAATCCATCACTTTTTCGGGCTCTTCGTCTTCACTTACATTACCCATGGTAGGGCTGGCTTCCTTTTTAAAAAATAAACAAAGAAAATTTGTTTGCTGAATTACTCCTCATAAAGTATTGCATATGTGCCAGTGGTCAGCCAGGCTGCCCGGGGATGACAATGCCAGGCTGTCATCTAGGCTCACTGGCTAGCAGGTGGCTCCCTCCCACACATCAGCAGAGAAGGGTGCGATACAAATTTGTGTCTGGGAAAAATTATAAATCACTGCATTTCCACTAAGATGTAAGCTCCTGAGGTCAGGGACTGTTTCTGTTTTGTAGCTAGACCTAGATTTAGGGCCTCGTGCTCAGAAAATAATGATAGAATGGAATTCAGAGGCCTTTATGAAGGACAACACAAGAGGTCCCAGGTACCCAAGGCTGTTGCTGTCAGGGTCAGCTGAGGACTAGGAGCCAACCCCGTGAATGTCAAAGCTTGCATGTCAAGGGACAGCCCAGAGCCCGGTCCTGGGGACCTTACCCGCATCGGATCCATTTTCAGGAGCTTGGAGAGAGGCTCCTAGGACCTGGGCCTTGATTGGCGGTCCTGAGGGAGGCCTCAGTTTCTGGGGGAGGAACTCAAGGAAAGATACGGCAGCATTGAGAAGGGCATGCTGCAAAGAGAGCCGATTGTCTGTAACCAGGTTTTGAAATGTCTGAAACCATTTGTGGGGTTTCGCTGTTCCACCTTCTCCTGTCTGCCCTAAGGTGGCATAACTCCCCCGTCCCCCGTCCCCCTTCTCCTTCCCTCCCCAGCCCCCCCAAACGGAGGCGATCAGGCCAAGGTTGAAGTCACTGGCAGAGCTGAAGCCAGGCTGTCTGTGGTGGAGCCCAGCTCATCCCCACCCCATCGCCCCGCTTTTGTCCTGATACTATTTTGGCTTATGGTGTGCGGTTTCAGCATCCGGGCCAGCTTTTCGTCATGACCCAGTCCCCACGTTTAAAGGCTGAGCGAGTCCTCCAGGAGAGGAAACTGCTGAAGAGGAGATGTTCCTCAAACATTGAGGCCTACTCTTCCTTCTGGGAGTCTCTTTCTCAAGGTAGTTTCAAGAGGAAAAAGAGGAAGCTCCAGATTTAGGGCAAAGGAAGATTGTGTGTGTGTGTGTGTGTGTGTGTGTGTGTGTGTGTGTGTGTATGTGTGTGTGTACGGGTATGTGTTTGGTGAGGGGAGCAGGGGTGGCACCGGGCCACTGGCAGGGAGGCGGCATTTCATGCAAAGTGGTCCCAGCTGCCCCTGGTTTATGGGCTAATCCCGGCCCTGCTCCAGCCTGTCATTCAGGGTAAGCTGCTATCATTAGTGGTTAAACATTTCTGAAAGTATTCTCTCTTCATTCTGACCGCATGCCCTTTCGGGGAAGGGAGGGAGGAGCCAGGAGAGTAATGGAACCCACCCTGTTGTCATGCCCAGATGCTCGGCCGAGGGACAAGGGGCCTGGCAACTGGTCGTAATCATGGGCTTGTCAGAGCCCCCGTGCGTGCGTGCGTGCGTGCGTGTGTGTGTGTGTGTGTGTGTGTGTGTGTGTGATGGGACTGATGTTGCATTTTCCATGCTGCCCACATGGCAGGCTGCTCCTTGAGGGACACAGCCCTCCGCTGTGGGCTGGGAGGACCAAATCAGAGAGGCTTTTTTTGTCCTTTTAAGGGGATTCTTGGCTGAAATAAACCTTCCATTAACCAACTTTATCTCTCTGAAGTTCTCAACACATAGACACACATTCTCCAGTGGCTAAAGCCTGCATTTCCCTTTGGAACTTGTCTGCACCCGTTCTGCTTTCGATGAGGAGCTGTGGTAAAATGCTCAACACCAACATTTCTTCCCATGAAGTGGGGACTTTGAAATATTTTTCTTGACTGAGGTGTGGTTGACAGCCTTTGATTTATGAAATTAGCTCAGGGAAAAATAAGACGGAAAAAAGAGAGTCCAAATTAAATCTGTATTTCCATAGCTCAGTTGTGCCCTCTCTACCCGTTTTTAACCACCGCACAGTCTTTAGGTAAGAAGGACTCCAGGGTTGGCTAGGCTTCTGGGTGTTTTCCTCGGTTGTGTGGGCCCAAGAAAAACCTTCTTTTTTATTTTTTATTTTTTTAAAACTGTGTTTTCTTCCTTGTTCAAAAGGATACAATAAGTTCCATGAAGAAAGCTAGAAAATTTTAGAAAAACACAAAAGAAAGAGCGAAAGGCATCCATATCTTCAACACCCAAAGATAATCAGTTGACACATTGGCTTATGTCCATCTTGTTGGGGAAATTTGTCTCTTGTGCTACAGAAGGTAGTCAGTGGAGACCCTTCTTATTCTCCTAGGAACCTCCTAGTTAGCTGTGCTGCAGGCGGGTCCCACCCCACGGGGCTGGAGTCTGACCAGCAGAGGTGTTCTCGTGGGCACGGCACCTCCCTGTGTGGGGAGCTTCCTGTTAGGGCCCTTCACCTCACCACTGGCTGAGTGACGAGTGATAGAACCCCCGGGGAGGGATTCAGCTAAAGTCCTCTCACCCCGGGAAGCAACTTGAAGGCTGTTGACCTTCAAGTACCTGAATATGAGTGTTTTCTCAGTCGCTAACTTTCTGCTGGACTTCTCTGTGTCCGTTTTCTTATCTGCAAAATGGGCATTTATAATATTAGTCAGCTACTTCTAGGGTTGCCATGTTCAATGAGATAATGTTTGTAAAGTGTGCAGCACCCCACAGGTACCTGGAATATAATGTTGCAGCTCAATGCATACTATATACTTCCGTAGTCATCGGTAGTACTTTTACTGTCGATAGTGTCCTCTCTGCCCCCTTTTTTTTCACGTGGGCTAGATTGTCCTCGGGACTGTTGCTCCTCTGCACAGAGAGGATGGTCTTTTCCTCACTGGATACTATTTAAGTCATCTCACTGTTGTAAAGTATTATATAGTGACTAAGTAATAGGATAATCTCCTTTGATAAAACTGCTGAACTGAAGGGCCAGGAGACTTAGACATCTTCACTGAGCGGATGAAGTCAGGGCACGAGAGAACACATACTGCCTGCTGCCGGGTGTCCTCTGAAGATGTCAGCCAGGTTCTCTGTCGTTAGATCCCCCGTTTTCCTTGTGATGCAGATCCCTTTCTGCGTCGTATCTTTTACTTGGATGGACCGTGGAGTCATGTTTTCTAGATAAAACATGTCAACATATGCACTGGCTAAGATGTCTAATGTTCCTTGACTTCTGTTCCGAAAGGAAGCGTCTTTTTAACTAAAGAGAAAAAACGGATTTGGATACGTTTTTTTTGGGCTCCGCCGAACAGGAGAAATGTGTCATCGGTATACCCTGCCCAGTGGTCTAGTGATTTCTTGTTTATTTCTTACATTGGAGCCCAATGAAAATAATGTGATGGTCACCGGATATTTTGCCAGTTATTTCAGATGTGGGAGCAATTCACTCTGGATTTGTTTACTTCCCAAGTGGAAAAGTTTACCCGAAGTTGCCTCTGGACTTTTACCAAGAAGGAAGCTTACCTGGGTCTCTCTGTTTGAAGCCGGCATCTGTTGAGTCAAAAACTGCAGGGGCTATTGAAGGTCTTACTTCCAATAAATAGCGAGAGAGGGAATACGGTGACTTAGGTGGGATACCTTCTTTTTTTTTTTTTTCTCCCCCAAGTAACTCACCTCTGTCTGCTTTCTACTTTGAATCCCCAGGACGCATAGACATTCAAGTGGTTCAGCCAGAACAACCACAGCAACCGACGAGCGAAGTCCTGGTACCAACAACCGGCACCGTCAAGTTCAGCCCGTCAAGAACCCAAGCCACAGTGGCTTGGCCAATGGCACAGGTGAGTGACAGCCCGGAATGCCAACCCAGACTGATTAAGTGGCTCTCACCTGTTCTCACGTGGACTCGGGAGCCTGTCTATGTCACAATGTGGGATGGGTGAGAGAAGACTCCAATACCAAGATAAATTTGAATCCATCAATCTTCCCATTGACCTGTCTTTCTTTATCTCTGGAATATTCTGTATAGGTAAGGTTAGTCTCCATAGGACTCTTCTAAAATATTTCTTTTCACAGAAATAAAAAATACTGATTTTTGTATTCATTTAAAAATATATATATTTTGTAGATTTTATACAGAGAGGAAGGGAGAGAGATAGAGAGTTAGAAACATCGATGTGGGAGAGTCATCAATCAGCTGCCTCTTGCACACCCCCTACTGGGGATATGCCCGCAACCAAGGTACATGCCCTTGACCGGAATCGAACCTGGGTCCCTTGAGTCCCCAAGCCGACGCTCTATCCATTGAGCCAAACCAGTTTCGGCTGATTTTTGTATTCATTTTTTTTTTTTTTTTTTTTTTTTACCAACATTGGATTTCATTGGGAGAGGATATCTTACTTATACATGATACATTTTTTTTCTGTCCTTAATTTAAGGAAATGATCAAACTTCGGGAGAAAGGAAACGGTACTGTTGCTAGGAGCTGAGTTAGAGAAAATGGCAGCACTGTTGACGGTTGGGAGGCTGACAAGGGCCAAAGCCACAGTGCTACTGGGGTGGGGGGAGAGCAGATGGGGAGGCATCTGTGGCTGCTTCAGGGAGAGTTTGTGCCGCTGGAGAATAGACAGTCCCTCCACGTCCACATAGACCGTCTCTGCACTTGGCTCTGCTTCCTTGTCAGTGGGAAGGGAAGGGAAGGGTCTATTTCAGAACAGTTCACTTTCTGCCATGCTTTCCTTCTGCCTCATCAGTGTTGGATTCAAATGAGAAAAGGAAAAAAAAAAAAAAATTACAACACTTGGTTTTTTCTAAGCGTCTTGAAAATTGTCGGAGTTTTAATGACTGCTGGTCCCTTGGTAATGTGTCTTAACTTGGGGCAGTTGGGGAGGGACATGTGGCTGTTGCTTTGATAAACTATAGGTGTTTAAATTGGTAAGTGGCACCTGCAGTAATTTGTTAGGTGCTTGTGATGACAGGAAGGACAGACAGGAGGTCTGGCGCATGAGCGTTGTCATGGCCCTTTGTGTGACAGGCTTGAGTAGGAGACATCGACTTGGGTTACTTTTTCATGACTCAGTTCTCTGGCTGCAGTACCCCCCTCCCCCCCATGGCTCATGGTGCTCAGTTGTACGGTTGTCTGCCATGGCCTGTGGGTGGAGTGGCCCGTGTCCTTCACGGCTTCACTGCATGTGTCGGGGCCTGACTTTCCCGCTGGGATTGGGGACCCGCCTGAAGGAATTGAGTTAACTAGCTTGCCCTGAGCCAGGAGGACAAGGATGAGCTGGAGGCGTTGGCTCAGCCCGCCTGGCGCCCCCGTGCCAACCCCGTGCCCGAGTACTGGAACCATCCAGTCATAGTGTGGATGTTGCCATCTGTGTGAAGGGGAAGGCGAGGCAGTGGCCGTGGGCCGTGTTGCAGAAAATTGTGTACGTCTCTCTGTGAGCACCAGCATGCATGCTTCCCTTAGAAAAACGAGCCTCCGGAGGGAGTGGGCTGGGGAAACTGGCTCCTTGGAACCCGTTGATTCCTGGAGGCGTTGGCCGTGATTCCAACCACTTTGTTCTTTGGGGGGGACCCTGGTTTCCCTTAGCCACTTCTGCTTCTCCTGCGAAAACGCTTGGTGAATCGGCTTTATGTGGGGATGGTCTTCGAGTCAGTCTTGATGTTTAAGCAGGGCTGTATTTCCCTGACGTTTACTTTTGGGTGCCTTTGCATATCGCCCTTATCTCCAGGGATACTACGTTTCAGCAGACGAGGCAGGTGCCAGCCGTGTCCCCAGAAAGCCCAATATCCGTCACCCCCTGGAAATGTTTCGTGGCGCCGCATCTGAATTCCCAAACCGTTCCCAGAACCCTCTGCGGAGGACAGTTACCGCCTTTAAGGGATTTCTGCCCGTTTAAATAGGAAGGTCTTGGCTTCTGCCTCTCTCCTCTCTGCGTGATGACAGCTCACCTTTGCCTCCCATCCAGCCTTGACTTTGCAGGCTCTTTAATGTGTGTCCAAGGGGTACAGAAAGACCTCACCTCTCCTCTGGGGAGCAGGCAGAAGGCCCCCTGTTTGGCAGCACAGGAGCAGAAGGGTTTTTGAGGATATGAATGCTCCATCCATCAACACGTTGCTCTTAGAACCGAGAGGAGCGGTTCCAAAGTGGTGGTGGTAGTCGGGAGCCGTGCCGCCAGGAAATGTTTCCACAGACATCTGAGGTTTGCTCAGCGAGCCCTGCTGGCTGGGCCCTGCCGTTCTGCATGAAAAGGACATTTTGGGGCAAAAAAGGGAGCTGAGTTCCAGGTGGTATTTTTGTGTTGTCACAACTGTGAAGTAACCATTTAAAAAAAAAAATAAAATGAAAGTGACTGGCAGCCTGTCTGTATAAATATATAATATTCCTAAGTTTTAGAAGTGATGGAATTGAGAAATAGACAAATGTATAGCACTTCATTGAGACTCCTGTGAAGTGATTTATTTTTTTCTTCTTTTATTGAAAACCTTATTAAAAAAAAAAAAAAAAAGACATCTCTCACTCCTCTCTTCAATGTGATTTCCATGCACATAGGTGTGGGGGTCACACGGGCTGCGCTCAGATTCTGACCCCTCATGTGTGGTATCTGTATAGAGCCCAGGGACTTCCAGGGCCTTAGTTTTTTCATTGATAAAATCAGGACGAGATACATATATCTCATAGAGTTGTTATAGAAACAAATTATATAATATATGTTAGAGTGTCTGGTATGGCGCCTGGGATGCAATAAGCTGTCAATCAACATTAGTTTTTATCTTCATGAATAACTTCATATGGCTATAGTCATGCAGCATGGATAGATTTACTTTCATTCCCCCCCCCTTTCCCCCCCCCCCCCCCCAATATATGCTTCTATGTATTTGTGGTCTTTTTGTTTACCCCTTTTTAGTGGCCTCATCCTATTCACAGTTAATACACCCTAGTTCCTGCTGAAACCGGTTTGGCTCAATGGATAGAGCATCGGCTTGGGAACTGAAAGGTCCCGGGTTCGATTCCGGTCAAGGGCATGTACCTTGGTTGCGGGCATATCCCCAGTAGGGGGTGTGCAAGAGGCAGCTGATGGATGACTCTCTCTCATCGATGTTTCTAACTCTCTATCGCTCTCCCTTCCACTCTGTACAAAATCAATAAAATATATATATATATATATATATATATATATATATATATATATAAAATACACCCTAGTTCCTTTAACCACTCACTCCTCAATGCTAGTGTACTTCCCATTGTAAAACCAAACCCTGATGTAGGCATCTTTGCACACAGCTTTGTTTCTTCTAGCATGAAGTTCTTGAATCAAAGGATATGAATTTTTAAAATGAGATGAATGCACATTATCAGATTGCCTTCCGAAAGGTTTGAAGCAATCATATATCACAGGGCAGTGTAAAATTTCCCCCGAGTGGTATGCGAGGTTTATTTTTTCCTACAACCTTGTAAACACTGGTTTATCTGTTTGCTCAGAAGTATTGAAGTGCTCCCTCATTGTTTAACCTTCTTGCATTTTTCGTTACCAGTTGCTTGATTTGTGTGACTTTTTCATAGTATTTGCTTATCCTTTGGAGATTAGGAAGTTTATTTATATATCCTTGGTTCAAGTTTCTTTTTTACAAATGGTGATAAAATATGTTTAACATAAAATTTGCCATTTAAACTATTTTTGAGTGTACAATTCAGCGGCGCTAAGTTCATTCACATTGTTGTGCAGCTACATCACTATTTTATTTCCAGAACTTTTTCGTCATTCCAGATTGAAACTCTGTACCCTTTTAAACAATAACATTCTCTTCTCCTCCCATCTGCATCCTCAGCCAACCTCCATTCTACTTTATGTCTCTAAGAATTTGCTTATTTCCGGTGCCCATAATATAAGTGGAGTGATTTGTCCTTTTGTCTATGGCGTTATTTCACTTAGCATAATGTTTTCAAGATTCATCCATGTTGTAGCATGTATCAGAATGGTTTCATTTTATTTATCCATTCACCTGTGGGTGGACATTTGGAGGGTGACCACCTCTTGGCTGCTGTGAGCAGCGTTGCTGTGACATGGGTGTACAGAATCTGTTGGGGGCCAGGCTCTCAGTCCTTTTGGCTGCACACGTATGAAGAGAGTTGATGGGCCATATGGTAATTCTCTGTTTAACTTTTTGAGGAGCCCTCAAACTGTTTTCCAGAGCAGCTGTACCATTTTACATCCCACCTCCCCAATATTTGTTTCCTCCCATTTTTTTTTTTTTTATAATAGCCATCCTAAAGGGTGCAAAGTATCTAGGTACAAGTTTTATGTTATACTTATGGTGATAAGTTTCCCCCTATATCATTCATTGCTTTGTCTTTTATCTCATTTTTTTGTGTAGCTTTTGTAGAAAACGTTAAAAATTTAAAAAATAATTATGTATGAGTGTTTTTTAAAAACAAATATTTCCAAGTTTACTTTTTGCCTTAGAAGTGAAAAGATTCTCTCTTTGTCTATTGAGGGAATAAATACTTTATTCTTTTTCCCCCTTTTTTCATGATGTTATGTTAAAAAAGAACTATCCCACTGGAATTTATAGTGGTATATCTGTATCTATGCATATATAAGTATAATGAGGATGGGTTAAATTAATTTTTCTCTATATCAGTGGCCTATTTTCCTATAAACATTAATTAAATGGTTTTCTTTCCTCATTGTGGTTTTTCCAAGTACATTATCACTTACCACATTCTTATATGCAATGAGAATTCATTTATGGACTCTTTATACATTCCACTTACTTTATTTCCAGTTTGGAGCCAGCGTCATGTGATTTTGATTATTGACGTGTTATTGTATGT